ATTGACATGTGTTAAAATAACTGACCCTTGGCTGACCCTAGTTGTTGATCCAGGTTAATCTGTTTGTTCTCCCCTAAAGAACTAAACTTGGCTTTAAATGAGCATTTGGAGGGTTTTGGGAGTGTGAATACTTCAACATTAAAAGTCGTGCAGATGTTCTGTATCAAAAATGTTGTTTTTTTTTTCCAAAGAGATTTGGGATTGTAGATCAGCACACCTTATTTTAAAGTTAAATGGCCCTAACCATTTTGGTGATGATCTGAACAGTTGGAGGAAGGAGGAGAAAATCAGGGTTCACATCTCCTCCATTTGATTTAGTGAGATAAAATGATAATTTCCTTGCTGCTTACCATCCCCCTTAACAAATTTCCACTGATCCGCAATAGCTCTCAGCAGTCTGCAGAAGTCTCAGTCTTCATGAGAAAGTTGTACAGATTTTACACCTCCCGTAGACCCCCTCCACCCCTCTCTTCGTCTCTCCCATCAGTCCCCTCATTGTGATGGTAATGGACTCCATCGTGCGTGACCAAAATGGTCAACTTAATTGATGAAAAAGAGATCACCAAGAGTGGAGAGAAGAGGGGGTTTGCATATATCAGACATGCAGGATTTTCATTCACAGAAGGCCCAAAGAATACATAACGACACTTAAAGAAACTTGAAGACTGCCAGTGGGTTAAATCTGATCTGCTGTTAGATTGCATGGCATGACTCACCGTGTTCTAGTACCTGCTCACAGTTGGTTGCTCAATCAAGAACCTGCACACTTGAACATGCACAGGGTTAGTGCTGGAGCGTTCAGACTAAATAAAGACTTGTAATGGATAATGCACATTCATTTATGGTGCACCTGCCAGGCTGAGGCATGTGTTTACAGACAATGAGAAGCATTACAAAAGGCAATTTCAATTTTTAACCTGGGGCGACGTGTCATTTTTTTGTTAGTTAGCTATAACTAACTCTGAATAGTATATCCTTTTTTAAACAAAGTGCTGGGAATATTCTATGGTTGTGATGCATGAAGTTCCAGTTTGGAAACAACCGTTTGTCTTTCCGTCTTTAATACCTTCCTACCGAGAGGCACTTAACCCCGTGCAACAATCATGTTATCTATTAATCTGCCAATCACCCTCCTGATTGATCCTTTTCGCTATGATATAACATGTTAAACAGGCTAATCATAATTTTCAAGAGCCTAGAGACTTTAAATAGCTTTTTTCATCCAACATTTGATACCAAGAAGTCTTTATTTACCATCATAACATGACATCAAAACGCAGCAAATCCTTTCATTTAAGATTCTGCAACCAGCAAACGTTTGGCATAATGCTCGATTAATGACAGAAAGCATCGATCCCTATTCATTATAAATTATTATTAGGACTTCATTAGGCCATCAAATCTTTGTAGCGTTGGCTTAAGCCCATACCATAAACTGTATCAAACATTTAACATATTGGTCTCTAAAAAAGAGGCTTTAAGCCGCAACGATGGCGTTCACCATATTAGAATTACTGCATCTAACTTTTGATCAATCTGGTAACAGACAAAGAGTTGGAGAAAACAGCTACACACCCAACTGTCATTACAGGATACACATCTGATTAAACAAATTAATGCAAACAGGTGGGTTATTTTTTCAAAGATTATTTTGGGGGATTTTGCCTTTATTTGGATAGGATAGCTATAAGCTATAAGTTTGCTTTTCAGATATGCTTCTTGCTGTTATCAGTATCAGATACCATTTAAGCACTGTAATAATCAACAGGCTATGGTTGAGCTCTTTGAAGCACACAGCCGACAGAGAAGCCTGCTAGCTGTATAAAATACTGAAGACAGATGCTGTGGAGAGGCAGGTGTGTGTGAGTGTTTGTGTGTTTTGAGGGCTCAGACTGCCAGCTCACCTTTCTACTGAGAGGGTAGAGTTTCAACAAAAGCTGCCTGCAAACCACCCGTCATTTCACAACATTAACCGCCTGTTGAACTCCTGTCTACTGTTTATAAAGCACATATGAAGGTGCAATAATACAAACCTTATACCTTATACTTATACTATAATTTAAAAGGGAGAAGATAGTATTGAACATATACTCTATTTGATGGTAACATTTAAATCAGCTCTTAAGCAGTGGCAGCTCTTCTCTTACAGGATTGTGTTTCTTGACTGAATAAAGCTGAAACATTAGCAGTATAACAAAAAAACAAAACAATTTATGAAGTTCTTATTTGCGTTATTACCTTGATGGTATACAGAGGCATAAGAGACCATATGACCCAAATTACAAACACAAAAACTTGTTATCTCATTCATCGCTGGAGGCATGTTTTTGTTCAGATGGCATTTGTCGAGATAAGATATCTGTGATCGCACCGTTAGATTTGCCATGAGCAGGATTGATCTTGCGGCGCTCTTAACATGAAATATGACATTTGTAAAGTGGTTTACATTTGTAAAGCTTTCATGAAAAAAGAGCTGTATTTTTCTTTGATGTCAATTAATTACTGACCTTTTAAACACAGCTGATCTGACATTTCTCTGCAGAGATGAAAATCTTAGCCTTAGCTTGTTTTGTAAGCTTTTTGTAATGGAAGAAGTGAAGCAGAAAGGCAGTCGTGTGCACATGTTGTCCTATGTAAGGACAGGTGAAGGAAAAAGATTTTCATTATTGATTTATCCTCCTTACTTTCTTAAACAGTGGTAGACTCTATAAAGCGTTCTTTTTTTTCTTTTTTTTTTACAAATCCTCTCACAAACTTGGTTTTAAGCATATAAGTTACTTAGGTACGACTATACATTTCGAAGATATTTAGCAGTCGATCTCATAACAAAAAGACTTGAAGTAGTTGAGAACAAGGAAAATGAGATTGATACATTGTGAACTTGATTGATTATTTATGTCTTCTCTTTTTATGGAGCAATCCATCAAAGTATTTTAATGCTGACATTACTGATAAAAGCGTACAACACTTAATTTGACTGGATGTCCTGTCAGATATAAGAGATATATATATAAGTTTTGAAAGCTTTAAAGCATTAACCAGCGTATGGATGCTCACAATTTTAAATAGACAAGGCTCAGGGACATTGACTTATTCAGCTGATGTCAGCAGTGACGCTTCTGCGGCTGAGCTTACTTGTTTGTTTTCAGTCACATCGTATCAACCTGTCTCTGACGATTATTAGAACATTAGAACTTAGCTTTTCATCATAAGTGCTAGGAACCCAGTGTACCTGACTGTGTCTCTACTGTGCTTCTCAAAATGTGTGTGTGTGTGTGTGTGTGTGTGTGATGTATATGTGTGTATTAGCATGAGTGGTTTTGGGTGACCCTTCCTTGGCATTCCAGCCATTCCCCTGGTACCTGGTAACAGGCCTGTTCTCCTCCGACGGGGTATTTTTAGGCCCTGAGAAGCAGCTGTCTGTGTCCACGTCTGCACACACAGCCTGGCCGTCTGTTGACTGAAAAATGTGGCTGAGCTCGAGAAATGACGCAGCCTATTTGTAATGATGCAACCTCAGTCAGCATCTTTCAGGATTATGAAGATTTTAGCTAACACAGATGTAGTTTTGTGTAATTCATCATCTGTGAGGTGATGCTGTAGTCTGAGGTAAATCTGTTTATAGCTGCAAAGCTGGCAACTCTTTTCTCAACAGCAGCCCTGCACTGTGGTCTTCTCACTTCTCATGAGTCACGTTCGCTTTGTGGGTCTTCTGCTCGACAGATGAACAACAAATAGTGAGATATGTTTTCGGGGAGTGCAGCAGCAGTTCATGACCTCATGTATGGTAATTGAACTAAACAGTGAAACTTCTGCAAAACCCAAATTGTCAGGTTTGTCCCTCTGACGTAACTAACAAAGAAACTACATCAGCAATAAGCTTGATTGTTTCTTTGTATTTTTAATGCCTGTAACTGCTGCCACAGGGTGGTGTCAGACACAGCGAGCACATTGACAGCATGCTGCTTAAAAAGCCTCTGTTTACATTTCAAATGACTCTAAATGAATTTAATAGATTTTCCTATAAAAACTCAGTGTGTGTCATGAGCACAATCACAACAAAGTAAGGATTAAGAGAGAGTTTTACATGCATTGTGTTTCATGTTGAATGCATTGTGTAAATCAGTGTACTTCTTATGATGAAAGATTCAACAGAAAACTCAGAGCACTTGGACTTTTTCGATTCTCAGATTTTTTTTAATTTTCAAAATCAAAAACAAAAAAGCCAACCAGAATGTTCACGTTTAGACACTTCAAGTCCATTATTACCCCTTTACCTTTTCTGAAGATTATTTCCTTTTTATATATATTATCCACCAACGTTTACCCCTTCCAGGGCCTAAAGGGGGGCACAAATACACAACAACTACTAGAAGGAAATCCCAAAATGAAGCTATACATGTTTTCTTATTTAACAGTGTTGCCACTTCAGAGAATCATTTTGACGATATTTCACTTTCTGTTTCTATATATACATATTAATCCTCCCAACAGACAAGTTTTCATAGCAAGACAGAACATATCAGGGATGGAGAGAGAGACAAAAGAAAGCGCACAACAGACAGACTGAGCAACCAAAAAAGCAAACTTAAATAAAAACTGAAACTTGGATTTTTTTTTGTCTTTTGTCTGTTAGTTTTTTCATTTTAATTACATGGTAAAACATTTTTTAAGGATCTGATGAAGGATTTGTTACCTCATGTATGTTAGAAATCAGTATATTGTTGTGTATGTGACAGAGTAAGTGAAGGAACCTTAAAACACAATCCAGAACTGGTTTTGTGTTTTCCTTTATTTTCATGTTGTTGTAAGAGTGATAGTACAATTTTAATTTGTAGTGACTGAACATCATTGGCAAGATGTAATTAGGTTTGGATTAAAAACAACTGTGATATCACTGTACTGAAAAACAAACTCTCCATAATGCTGGCTCTCCTTTGGGTGCTAACAGACGGTATATGTGTGTGTGTGTATTTGTGGTTTTTTTTGCACCCTGACAGGGGGAGAAGAATGCCGGTTTTGACGTGCTTTACCACAACATGAAGCATGGCCAGCTGGCAACCAAGGAGCTTGCTGAGTTTGTCCGTGAGAGGTAAGTTTTTTTTTTTGTATTTGTGAATATCTGTGTGGGAGGGGAAGATGGTGATGGTGGAGAAACTCTACATTCTTGACTCTGTACAAAGAAAGATGCTAGTTTGTGCCAAGGTTGGGTGAAAGACCTCAAGAATACATTTTTTAAGTATTTCATGTCTCGGTGGATCTAAAGAGGTGTTCATGATTAATTCAGTTTTATAGTCCTGTAAGCAGAATGCAGATTTTAGAGAGAATTCTTAACAAGTCTCTCTTTGTTAAAACTGCTCCCGTCCTCTCTCTCTATGCTCCGATCTCTGACCCCAGTCATCACAACGGTGCTACTTTTGAAATGCACTCTCTCAAAAACTCACACAAGCCTGAATAGCTGGATTATCCTGCTGCAATACAGAGCTTTATCTTCTAACATGACTGTAACTGCTGGGTTTTAAAGAGCTGCAACATGGGAGGTGATAGCAGAGGCCTCTGGTTAGAAGTTAACATCTTCTCCATATCCTGAGTTAATTGATTAACCTACAAACATTACTATTATTAAATAGACTGAAAGCTTGACAGGCTAACCAGTAGTCGACGAGAACAGCAGACAATAACCTTATTAAAATCGTTTTCACTATTTAACAATACACACACACGCACGCACACACACGCAGCACACTATCAGAACAGTGATATAATCCTGATATAGAGTCAGACCTTCTGTGCAAATTCCTCACAGGGGGAAATTCACTTATCTGCAAGGACAGAAACAGACAACAAATCAGCAGTCAGGAAATGAAGAAGGGGCATTGTGGGTAAAATAGTGTGCCATCCCACAGGACAAAGTGAGGCAATTGTGTCGATAAATGTCCTCCATCTTTTCCTTGCTCCACTTGCAGGAAAGGTCATTTTGATATAAGTTGTAATATGAAACAGTCTTTTAAAGTATCGGGCTTCATGTTACATTATCTTCCCTCATTCTGGGTCTTTATAATATCTCTCTGTTGAACTGCCTCTTGAAAGGACGGATCATTAAGTGGTGCTGAAATAACAAGTTTAAGGCTAAAACAATGATTGAATCAATTAGTAAAACTTAATTTTTTTAATGAACAGACTTTTGTTTTGTTTAATCTTTTTACAGGTTGCTGTTTTGAGAACTATAGTGTCTTACATTTTTTCAAAATAGTCTCAATTACCTTTTACTATTATATTGTACTTTCCTCTCTTTCAATTAAAATTACCCAAACATCTCAACAAATTGAACTTCACTCACTTTAAATACAAGACTTTAATTTTTTTTTTTTACCAATTTTCAATACGTTACATTTTGGCGATAATTAACAAATAAAGTCAACATGTGTTGCAGCAGTCAACATAGTGGTACTCAAAAGACTCAAGATAATGTGCATTAGAAAACTGAATCTATCAAAGAGATGAATGGCTGCAGAGTTATTCAAGAGCACACCTTTTTTCCACACAGACAGCATTAGGTTCCTGGTCAAAATCAATGGACAATCTAACTGGGATATTTTAAAGTCATATTTTGCCTGACAGAAACGGATTTTGATTAAAACATTACTTGTCTGTTATGTTATTCTGAAAATCTCAAATCGTCTCATATCGTTTGAAAAGTTATCATAAATTAATGATCCAAGCAGCTTTTGAAGAAATATGTAGTGTGGAGTCTTTGCAGGTGATGTTTGTTCATATCTTCTTAAATTGACCATTAACTTCTCGAGTTAATCTAAAATGAAAATATTTGTTATCCTTTTTTTCAGACAGAATTTGAGTTCCAGTATTGTTTCAGCATCACTTCTAAAGATGGATAGTGTCGGAACATGTGTTTGTTTGTGACTTTCAGTAGAAGTAGATCAGCTCTCCCTCAGGACATTTGGATCAATGCCCCCCCCCCCCCCCCTTTCTCTTCAGGGTCTACAGATGGATATTAAAGTTTTATGCTCAGCCTTGGAAAACAAGTCCATTCATCATTTACATGTGACTCATTGCAACACGGACCTACATCCATCTTTATTTTTCTGGCTCGTGCTGGAGTTTGGAGCAAAGGAAGCAGTAGATAGAGAACATAACATATGAGGCCATTAGCAGAAGAAGTGCTATTGGAGTGCATTAGATTCACCAGTCTAAAGTCTATTACAAGGATTTACATTTTAAGGAACAGACACAACATCACTCTTCCTGTCCAATTACTGGTCATTTAGACTTTAGTAAGGAGGTTTAGAATTTGGTTGTAGCCATTGTAACCCCATATTTCCCTTGTTGCACCAACATTAGAGTTTCTTTATTATTCTGCTTACGGTATATACGTGCGTTTGCTTTTTGCAGTGCTGCTATCGAGGAGACGTACTCCAAATCAATGAGCAAACTGGCAAAGATGGCAAGCAATGGAAGTCCACAGGGGTGAGTAGAGCCTTTTCAGCTCAAGACAGCTGAACTTCTCCAACTAACCGTTCTCCCATCTCTTTCAGTACCTCAGAGCTGAATCTATATGGCTGGAACATGTTTGCTTCTATGTAAATCACACATATGGCAACACATGATAATTCAATGAGTACCATCTGCGTCAGCAAATGTCCATATATGTCATTCAAATAATGCCCATATGTTATCTATTGTATGACACATTTTCGTTCAGACTAAATATATAACAGCCATCAACACAGACATTAAGCTGTTAGAGGAACTGAAATGTTTTTTCTCTAATTTCTTTATACTTTGATGCGTTGCAGCATGAACACACAGGTTTATGCTGTAGTTTGAAATATTTACTTGTTGCATTTGTTATGTTTTTGTTCAGGCTCAGGGGGGTCACTTAAAAAAAATAAAAAGTCATGTCATGTATTTTGTCCGTGTGCCATCAGAATAAGAAAAGAAAAAGTGTTTATCTTGGAAAAAGTCATTTTAAAGCATATTCATAGTCTCACACTTTTAATAGATCTTAGATGAACAAACTGTTTGAGCCTCACAGTCTCGTGTGTGTGTTTGCTTGATGCATATGTTGTGTGTTTTCTAGGACTTTTGCTCCCATGTGGGACGTGTTCCGGGTTTCTTCAGACAAACTGGCCCTCTGTCACCTCGAGCTGATGAGAAAGATGAACGATCTAATCCGGGACATCAACAAGTATGGAGACGAGCAGGTCAAAATTCATCGCAAGGTATAGCCTATATGTGTGCCCGGAATGAGGGACGCTGTCTTTTTTACTGCTATGATTTTTGTTCCTGGTTGTCTTTCTTTGAGAAAAAAAGACTTGGACAGTTACTCATTACTTGCCCTTGATCGAGCCGCTGTCATCCTGATCAGATTTGTCTCTTTAAAAAAAATCCCATTACATCTTCTACCTTCACAGTAAATGCTTCAGTTTCCCTGAAAGTATCAAGTAGAGTAATGTTCTGAACAGTTTGTCCATGTGTTCCCTTTTCTTTTTCTCTTTCTTGCACGTGCATGTATGTGTGTGTTTGCATATGACCCAGACAAAGGAGGAGATGGTGGGGACAGTGGAGGCGGTGCAGGCGGTGCAGGTTCAGAGCGGTCACCTTCAGAAGTCAAAGGAGGGATACCATGGCAAGTGTTTGGAGCTGGACCGGCTGAGGAAGGAAGGAGCTCCGCTGAAAGAACTGGAGAAAGTTAGCCAACACTTTTTCTTTTTTCTCGGGTTCTGAATGCTCTCTTACAAGCCAGTAAAGTGCCCTAAAAAAAGGGCAAACAAATGTGTTACAATCAAGATAACTTTTATTTTACTGATCATGTTTTCAATCACTGCCTTTGAGTCTCTGCTTTGACCTCAGTACAGTGAATATGAGTGGAGTTAAGAATGTGACACAAGCAGCACTGGAAAGTGGCATTTTAATAATAGTGCTGTCAAAATAGTGAGTTAATATCAATGAACTAATGAACATGGATTATGTCCCCTGACCTTACTTCTCTGAGCAAACATCCATTTACAGTAGCTCTTAAAACATGATGGAAAAACATGACGTAGCGTTTAATTCTTATTTAAAAAAGGTGAGGGGGGGGTTAAATATCTGGTTTATAAAAAGTGCTTGACGATAGACTGTTTACACACAGCCAGTGTGATCTCAATGATCGCAATGAAACTGCTTCATTATGGTCTCTGGTCACCAGTGTGTTCCTCTCTGCTCTGTTGTTGATATTATGAATTTATTGAACTGCACGTAGCATTGATATAAAGACAAAAAAATATCATTGTTGCGATGGCCTCAGCAGTGTCTTTAATTGAGTTTGATAAATAACACCTTGTATGGCCATTTACAAAAAACAACAGAACTTCTCTGCTCTCATAACTCCACTCTGTGTAATTTTTTGCTGTTCTTGTTTTAAAGGTAAAAAACTAAAACTATTTTTTGCCCAATAAACAGAATTTCTCCAAGCACTTCTATATTTTCTTCCAGGTTTGTGAATGAGCCTGCACAGCTGAAGGTCATTATTCTCCTTCACCTTTCATTTCTCACTAGGCAGAGATGAAGTCTAAGAAGGCGGCCGAGTCGTTCTCATTGTGCATCGAGAAGTACAACCGTGTGGGAGGAGAGTTTGAGCAGAAGATGAGCGAGTCGGCCCAGGTCAGTTGAGCAGAGGGACACTTGTTTTTCTCTCCCTCCCCCTGATGTGTTCATGTGTGTTTCTTCTTTTCAAAGGCTTTATCTGTCTTTTTATCTCTCTGACTCACCATCTTTGTGAACTCCCATCACATGAAAACTCCAATCTCCTTCTTTCATTTATTATCCTACATCCCCAAAAATGGAAACCTCATCCTGCGACTCCTAAAAACACCCACCGACTAAAGCACACACACATCCTGCCCCCCCCCCACCTAATACCTTTAATAACTGCCTCCATGGTTACTGCTGCTGTTGCCATGGGGATCTACAACAAACCCCAATGAGTGTCTCTGTGTTTTGTATATTAAAATCCCTTTGACCAATCATCTCTTGATATAGCTTTGTAGGGGTAGATCTGGTCATAATTATGAGGAGGGGGTGCAGTGTATTTGGTACCTGGGAGCAAAAAGTGTCAAAGGACAGATCAGAAATGAAGGATGATCAAATAAAGAACAGATCAGTGAAAAAAAGAGTGCTTTTTCATCACACGTAACACAAAAGGAGATCACAGGATCTATTCTCTGAGGGCTCTTTCACACCTGTTGTAGGGTTAGCATTTAGTCTGTACCAGGGGAAAATAAAATCCATGTTGTTGCCTTCTATTAATCAAGCAAAAGAGATTTACAATATTTATTTAAAAAAGGGGGGGATTTTGAACCTTAAAACCAAAAAGGATGGTACGCCCAAAGTCACATGGTAAACACGTTTTGCTACATTTGCCAAACTACCTCTAGGCTAGGAAGTAAATCCAAAAATCAGGCTCACCCTTAGTAACTCACATGGGTGCTGAATCCTCAACCAAAAACATGTATCGAAAGTATTTCAGGACAGCACACCAAATCCACTCTTTTTCTCTTTTTCTCTTTTTATTTCCGCGGCCATTTCGGGCAAGGCCCTTCTTCTGTGGCTTCAGGCAAACAAACATGTCACTAAAGAAGAGCCTTACCCGAAACGTCTGCTTCAATAAAAAGAGTGGATTTGGTTTGCTGTCCTGAAGTACTTTTGATAAATAAAGGCGATGAATGGCTTCTGCAGACTAGTAGATCACTTAGGTATCAAAGAAGGATAGTGCTAACTTTAATTTAACCCGTGTTAAAGCCCCTGTTGTTGAACAGTCCTCTGGTTTGTCTATTTACATTCATACGACAAATGATTCTGCTATTTGTTGCTGGCCTTCGTCACATATCTGCAGATTTTAAAGGAGAACCTTCAGACAAGCGCAAATAAAAAAAAAAAACAAGACAAAAGTAAAGTATAAAAATAATGTCAACATATTTAAGATTCAGGTTTTTGAGCACATTAAAGAAAGCAAGAGGTTTCTACTCACAGACTTGGGAGTCAGAATTTTTCCAACACCAAGAGCAGCAGAGGGACGGGTATAAAGTGCTCTGCTGAAGGCAGCTGTAAAGAATCGGGGGAGAATGTTTAATGTTTGCTCTCTTTTTCTCTCTCTCTCTCTGCCTACATTTTGCCACGTTAATTAGAGAGGAGCAACTGCCAAAAACTCAGCTCACGACATCAATTCTCAAATAAAGCCTGTGGCACTTAATCAAGACAATTCCCATGAACCAGACAACGACAAATGAGCTGGCTGAAAGAGGAACAGGATCAAATCTAAATCCTTACAAATTATCACGGGTTTAAGAAGCTGGCAATCCAGAGCTTCTTCTGCTGCCTGACTGGCTCACTGAAGCTGCACATGATTCTCCAAATCCTTCTAAAGGCAGTTTTGACTCTCTGCATGTAGGAATATGGTGTGGAAAGTTTCAGTTCTGCTGGATTATGGATACCAATTTCAATTCTCCTGAAGCTCCTTCAGTTTGGTAGAGACAGTAAATTGTAAAAATAGGCCTTTTACTTCATCTTTCTTTTAAATTAGAGACAAAAGAAACAACCAAAATGAACAGCATTCAACAGCAAACATAAATATATTTGTTATATCCTTACCATTTCAGGTTGCATGTAAAGAATTAATAGACCTACTCTGACTGAAGGTTATGAAATGTTGTTGAACTGCAATAATGGGTTTTTTACAACAGCAACCAAAGTACACAACAAATAACTGAGCAACAACTACAATGATACAAAACTGGACAAAATCATTAAACCAAAGACACCTCAGACCAAAGAATTATTGTTCATTTCTTTTGCTTCCTTTTTTAAACAAGATTTTAACAGTCATGGAAAGAATAAAACAAAACTTCTAACTAAAGCTTAGTCACTGTTGTTCAGTAACTTAAAGTTTAGTAACAGCTGTATTTTGAAGTAGATGTTAGTTTGACTTTGATGTTATACTTTTAATTAATTTTTTAAAGCTTTAATGAACACCAAAGGCGCACGATAGATGTCAACCAATAAAGAAAGATAAATTAGCCAGTAGTGGAGTTTTGCCTTTTCATGTGGTAACAGTGTGTTTTCTTTTCTTTGCCATGGTGTGCGTGTGTGTGTTTGTGTGTGTGTGTTTGTGTGAGTAGAAGTTTCAGGAAATTGAGGAGGCCCACCTGCGTCAGATGAAACAGCTGATCAAAGGTTACTCCCACTCAATAGAGGACACCCATGTTCAAGTAGGACAGGTACGCTACAGCCTGCTCTGATCCAGTGATTTTGAATCATCTGAATTTATCCATTCTCCAGGTCTTTAACGTCTACTGACTCTATTTATCACCAACAGTAGACACTCATATTGAAAACTAGATACATCATCCTGTTGGTCTTCCAAGTTGATTCTTCATCATAAAGAGTTATCACAAAAGGCTTTGATAATAGAAACAGTTATTTTCTCAGCCTCTTCATGGACATTACTTGCTTTTTTAAGAACCTAATACTCATTGTTCTTCTGCTTTGCTGCAGGTCCACGAGGAGTTCAAGCAGAATGTGGAAAACATCGGCATCGATAACCTTATCCAGAAATTTGCAGAGCAGAAAGGCACGGGCAAGGACAGGCCAGGTGCAGTGAGCTCAGTGGGATTATATTTTGGGTGGTTTCCAGTTGGAGTAAAGTTAAAGCATAAACACACAAAATGAGCAGCTTGCATAACAATACGAATATGAAAACACCCACACTCCAAACAGTATTGTGGAGGCGGAATAATTCATTGTGACAAATTATAACAGTGAGTGAGTGATCTGACATCCTCAAAGAGCCTCGGTGCACATGTGTGTTTGTGTTTATGTTTTTTATTCATTCACATCTGCAGCTCTGGTTGGTTTTGAGGAGTACATGACAGCTCCTGAAGGTGGGAAGAAGAGTCGCGCAAAAGCCTTCAGGATCCCCGGGCTCGGCAAGAGGGACAAGGAGCCAGACTCTACGTGAGTCACACACACACACACACACACACACACACACACACACACACACACACACACACAGAGATTTATGTACATTTCATTGTGGGTTTTAAATTATGATATAAAGAAATTAGAGTCTGTTGTGTGGTTCTGAGGTATCAGATCAATTAACAAAGACAAACTCTGTCTGCTTTAATATTAATAACCAGTCTTCAGTATGCCTGGCTGAGATGGAGTGATACACATAGTGAAAAGTCTCTGTGTGTTTATGCTCTGTATCAGCACTCACTGAATGCCTCTTGTCCAATCAAATATCTTTGTCAAAAGTAGCTGTTGTCTAATACATCTTGATCTGTAATCGTTGCTTTAATCTTCAGATACTACAGAATGAAGATGTTAAATAATGTGTTTGTTTTTGTATTTGCAGAGACTCAGCTGTGACAGAAGCACTTGTAAGTATGAAAAAAATTTGACTCCCTAAATCCCCCCCTGATTATCAGTCCTGTCAGACTCCCAAAGATTCAGTTGTTGCTGCAGACTTCTGTGGTTTCCAGCTCTTCTGCACAGTGAGAAGAGAGTGGGTTTATGGGCAGGATGGAAAGAGCGTCATGTGTTAAAGTTTGTAGCAAAGTGAGCAGGAAATCATGAGAGTGTGTTATTGACATTCTGCCGGTGTGGGATTTCCCAGGTTTATTCCGGTACTTCTTGAGTCGATGTTTTCTGATAAACTTTGGCAGCCAGAGGGGAAGTGCGTAACTCTATGAGATTGTGTTTGTATTTATGTCTGCATGTGTTCAAGCTGTGTATAAGAGAGAGAGCACGTGTGTGTGTTGCCATATAGCTATTTAACACTAGAAAGACCAAGGCAGTCATTTTGACTGTTTTTTGATTTTGCAATGTAATAACTTACTTAAAATAAAACCTATGTAACTACAGGACCATGACTTTTCCTAAATGTGTCTATATTTTATTCTAGCATTGTTATTTTATCAAAAACACAAAACATAAAATAGTTTTGAGTATTTCTACCTTGAAAGTCCATAGCAGTCATATTGACTGCATGCATTATAGCCAGTGTATCATTTCAGTATTCGCTACTTTTTCCCGCTCTTGAAGATAGAGGTGGGCGATATGGGAAAAATATCATATCACGATTTTTTTTTGGCAAGATCACGATTTTATCACAATGTTTTTCATACTGTTTAGAGAAATTTGTAAGTTGCTGACCAGTTCAAGCAAACTTATTTACCTGTATAATGTTTTTAAATGCACAAAAACTGTGCAGACAAGTTTAATCTATTTGAAAAACATCTTTGTAGGAGGTCTGGAGGTCTCACCCAGAACATCTTTAGCAACAGAAATCTCTTTCCCTCAATTTGATCAATATTTATGCACAATTTGAAGGTTTTCCTCACCACTTTGAAATTATGATTTAGTTATGTGTCCTCTTTTTATGTTCATCAGGAACATTTTCATGCAGTGATACATTCATTTAAAAACATGTAGACTTTGAGTTCTTGTGTTTCTGTTCTATTTTAGCCCTGCAGAGTTCCTACAGCTGGAGCTTCATACAGGCTCTGCATTTGTTGTTTTTTTATGACATCATTGGACTAACTTTAGTTTAGTTTATATATAATCAAACATAATACATTCTGTGACACATGATCAAAGTAAGTTTTACTGAAGAGTTTAATTCATAGAGGGGGCGGGACATCGTTGATTGACAGACAGACAGTCACCATGGTTACTCACTCTCACCTGCCTGCTGCTTTGTAACATCGTTTAGCCTAATCCCTATAAATTCAGCTATCACAACAGGTGAGCTTTGGTGGAGAGGATGATAGTAACTTTGAAAAACCGAGAGAGAGCAGAAAACACCGACAGCAACATTTTAAACACCGTGGTTATATCTGCACTGACTGTCTGAGCTCCGCCTCTGTCTGTCTCTGACTGTTAACGTCTCTCCGTGTCGCTATCCGAGATGTATACTAATCTTAACTGTGCAACTATGCAGATAAGTTAACTGTTGCTCACAGCGTGTCGGTTTGGAAAAATATCAGAACAGTTGCATATAACTGAGATGAAGTTGTTTTTGCAGACTTTACTTTTAAGTTTCGTTTTCACCGCTGCGGTCTGTGTCGGAGCATAAACTGCAGCATGATAGAATAAACACATTAGCCCGTTCTACGATCTCTCTGCTTTGGCAGATCATCAGCCAGTTAAAATCCTTCACGATCTAAGATCGTTATATCGCCCACCACTACTTGAAGGTGCGCATCGCTGTTGCCTAGCAACTATTGTTTATAACGCTCGAGCCAAGGTGGAAAGAAAGCTTACCCGCCTAAAACCATATCGAAAGAATAGGAGACATACATTTGAATTAATCAACATTGAAAAGGCAGAATAGAGTAAATTAGGATCTGATTTAGAACAGAATAGAACAAAATGTCAGGAAGGTGAAGGATTGCTGCCACAGAGGCTCCAGAGCCTTGATGAGGCAGAGTCTGATGGAGGCAGGTTCGGATACGGAAAGTGATGTCTCCTGGTCTCTCTTCATCTGACACTGGTTCTGAGATTGAACCTGAAATGGTACAGAGATCATTCCCATTTGCAAAAAACGCCGGCTGCTGTTCCCGTGGTTGTCGATAAACTATTCAAATTTCAAATTCATTAGAATTTAATGTTTGTGTCCTGAAGTTTATTATACCTTTCACAACATTACAGATCCATTTATTCTTATATTTGATATTGATTATTGAAATGATATGCAAATAATTCGTAAACAGTCAAAGTGACCGCTATGGCCTTTCTAGTAGTGATAGAATGCCGGTCGTTCTAGTGTTAACAGCCTGCTGTGTAAGAGGAAAGTAAACAGCAGATCACAGATCTGGTGCTGCTATTTTACACTTTGAAGGGCATCACGTTCCTCAGATGCTTGTAATGTTTGCTGAGGTCACCTTTCAGGACATGTTGCATCACCGTTTACATTCACTGACGCAGTCAATGCCCCCTCTACACTGAACATGGTAATGTTTATTTTGTCAGCTGCTTCTTGAAAAACAAGACGTGTACAATGACTTATTAGATCTCTTCACTGGGAAACATCTATAAACACCTAAATTAACACTTGGAGAGGTGATAAAAACTGTGAAGTTACAAGATGGCTTAACTGTGAGCGGAAAGTGAAGACGAGTTGATCTACAATCAGTCAGTTTAAGTTTCTCTGTAGTTTGATTCATACGAGCTCCCTCCTTCAGATTGTCACATTGTTATAAAAACCTTTTGATTCCGAAAGTTGTAGCGGACTTTAATGCACTTTTGTTTAATTTCTAAATGTTTTTTTAATTAGCAAAACACTTTCTCAATTAAATTTTTACTATGTTTGAAAATACTACAAGATAAACAGGGAAACAGAATAATGTACAGTGGACACTACGTACAGCCTTAACCCATTCTCTCATCACAGTTTATTCCTCCAAGAGCCTGAATTTGATATTTATTTTTGTTTTAAATGTATTTAACCAGGAAAACCTCATTGAGATCAAAACGCTTATTAACAAGAGTGACCTGGCCAAGACAGGCAGAAGAACACTTAACAAGTTACAGACATTAAACACAGAACACTAACAATCACAGATCCACACATCCAGAGTCACAGAGCAGAAAAGTCATCAGTCAAAACATCTACAACCTCCAATGCTTTAATTTAATGCAATAATCCTCGAGTAAGGAACAGGCAGGGGCAGGAAGGCAGGTTCTGAATCTAGCAAGACCAAAGCCAGTAAAATAATAAGCTGACAAATTTCAGAATGGACGGTACCTGGAATAAGAGAAATAATGTTTGTTTTTACAATTCAACGCATGTGTGCATGGATGAATGCAACTGTTTGTGTGTGTGTTTTAAAACCGACGTTATAACCAGTAATAGAAAGAAAAATTAGACTTAATACATTTAGATCATTGCAAATGTGCTCATAATGAAGATCATTAACATGAAATCATGGCCCCTCAACTTCCCAATTACCAAAATGAACAATATAAATACTGAAATAAATATTTAAAAGAAACAAGAAAATAAATATACATTCAGATTACATTAGATACATAAGCACAATATTATGGCCACAATATAGTATGAAACATGAACCAAACCTTGTATAAAATCAGACTTTACCATGTAAAAATACCAATAACAAAGGGAAGAACAAGACAGACAACATTAATAACAAGAACAATAACATTTGGATGACGTCATCATTTAACTCAGAGACATGAGAGACAAGAAGATTGATTGATTTCACTGTTATGATCTGATCATACCGTTATTCATTCGTTAGTCAGAGTGAATACTTTATCAAATGTTCTTTCTCTGTCACCTGTGGAGTAAACATCCTCATTTGCTGCAGTTACACTTCCCACGTCCTGTAGATCTGTTTACTGAAATCTGATCCTATCAAATACCGTCAGTGTGTGTGTGTGTGTATCTACGTACTGAGTCTAAAAATAACTCACCCCTTTGGCTGCTTGGTAGGTCTGGCCCTCCTCATGTCTCTTATTGTGTGGATCATGTGACTTCAGTAGCTGGCTTAATGGGAAGATTTCAATCCAACTGAAAAGACACTTGTAGCTCTAGAAGACGGCTTTGTTTGACTTGTAATGTGAAGTTTTATGTTCAACAGTTGTGTTCACTGACTCACACTTACTATACTCCTAGTGTCTGTATACACACTCATAGAGCTCTCCGTGTAGGCTGAGTGCTGAGTTACACTCTATGACGAAGCGCTTCTGTGTGTGAGATATGTGCCTGAAGTACCATTTGACTCCTTGTTGCAGTTGGTGTCTGACTCTATCTTTCTGTGTGTGTGTGTGTGTGTGTGTGTGTGTGTGTGTGTGTGTGTGTGTTCCCATTCATATAGAATTCACCCCTGGACGTAGACGATGAAGGATTTGTCATCCGAGCTGATAGTACTCAGAACGATATCCTTTTTCTGCTTGGACACGTTCAGTCAGAATAAATCATAAATGGGGGTCTGGGTTCATAATTACATATTTAACAAGTGTTAACCTTTTATTCCTTAATTAAAAATCCTTTATAGTCGTAGCTCATTATAAAGTTTACTGCAAAATGACTTCCACACTTGAGAAATGCAGTTAGCACCAAATTAGAACACATGAGTGTGCTGAATAGTCTTTTTAAAGATGTTCCTCATGGTGTTGAAAGGACTTTGAAATGAGGTGTAATCAGAAGGTGGGAGGTGAGAGTTGATTTCACAAACGCCTTCATTCACGGCCTCATCAACTGCAGAACCACAAAGTTATAGAGATCATTATCCTATTTATCTGTGCAAATCACTGAAACCCTCCCCATCATTTGATACACCCAAGGTACTGTATATTCCTGCACAGACAGGGGATTGTGTTGAATCATCCTGCTAAGCTAACCCTCCATGCTCTGACTTTTTGCACCTGATCTATTTATAGCTATAACTCTCAGTCCTGACAGCTCTGGGATTACAACGCTTCCTGACTTTGTCCCCCCCCTCTTGCTCAGAATAGATTTTTCATGCTCAAGGCACTCAAACTGCAGATGTCCTTTCACAACCCAAGAACACACCCTGTGTGCATCTGAGGCCAGAGACATTGAAAGGGCAGAAGACTTTCATTGAAGAAGATGGCAGCTCTGCAACTCTCACCTCCAGCTCTCTCTGTGCTGCTTCTGCCTCTTCAATTTTTTTGCACATTTCTGTGTTGCATCGCAGCCTGCTATTCTCTTTTGCCCTTATTATATCAATCTTACATTGAATCAATCTTACTTTCCATGCTCTTAAGGGAAGTCATCCTGTTTGTCCTAATAGAAATATTAAACAGGGATAAGCAGAGACACTTGATTGTCTTTTAGGCATTCAGCATTTTTTGCCCATAATAGCTCAATAAGGTATCTAAAGTAAAACTGACAGTATTTAAGAATCAAATTTTAAATAAAAAAAACTCAGAGCAATGCCCTTAATTTTATTCTCTACAACTCACAGAATGCAGTGAATCAAATGATCTCTCTAAGTAAAAAAAGACACAATAAAATGTCTACATTAGTCTACTTTTAAAATGATATCAAATAAAATTAATGAGAACTTAAAATAAAACTGTAGAGTCTATTGTTAGTATGTCTATTAAATGGCTTTTCATTCAGTACAGTAGCTTTTTCTCCTTGACCAACTTGTCTGTGTGTACGCTGCTCTGAGGAGAAGGACAACAACTTTTACTCCAGTGACTCAGACTTCGATGATGAGGAGCCGAAGAAGTTCCACATCCAGATCAGACCAGTCGCCAGCAGCAATCGCAGTAACTCTGCTGCCACGGAGAAAGAGCTGAAAGCCACCATCGGGGCGCTCACCCTGCCTCCAAACAGAGCAGTTCGACAGCAGGTGGCCTTTTTGTTTTCTGTCACATTCTCTTTGTTTTCAATGATACTCAGAAGGTACAAAAATCTTCAACTGTTTTATGGTCAGGTTGGAGAATGAGTCTCAAAAAGAAAATTTACAACTTCAACTACTTATGATAAGAAATGAGCTCAGATCTGACTTAATGGCTTACCTTGGTTACCTTTTGTTGTATGTTGTATGCACATTCTCATGAATTAAATAAAAACCAAAGAGTGTTTCTTCTGGAAGGTAGAGCCTGAATTAGTATTCAAAGTTAATTCTAAAACCTCAAACATGCTGATTGAATGTTCTTTAGGGCTCCAAATGTATGTTAACTGTAGCTGAAGAACCTCAAACTAGCACTTTTCACTTTACTATCAACCAAACTGAGACAGAAATGAAAAATACAGAATAACATCCCCCTTCAATATTTCACCTTGACATAAATTCACTCTATTGATCAAATCTTTTCTTCCTCTTTTGACTCTCAGGTGTCAGTCAAGCGGCATCTCTCCCGTAAGTTCACACAAATGGGTCTGATGTTTTTGGGGCAGTTTTTGGGAGTACTTCTTTATTTGCTGAAAACTCCTTCCTGTGAAGTGTTGAAGTGCAGACGTCTGAAGTAGTTTTGTGTCTGCAGGAACCTCGAGTACAGCAGGAGGTCGCTCAGAAGAGGGCGAGGGAGCCTCCCACAGGGGTGAGTCAGACTACAGTCTTTTTTTACTTTTTACTTTTTACTTTTTTGTTTTTTCAAAGATAATCATTCATCAATTGGTGTTGAAGTTGCTTAAACCTGCATTCTTTATAATGGCCAGCAGGGGGGGACGACTGGTTGCAAAAGAAGTCCAGTTTATGAAGCTTGATAAAATAAAATAACAAAAAAGCCTGTGAACATTTTTCTAATAAGTTTAAGATGACAATCAATACTTGAAGGTCTTCTTCAATACAGCATGATTTAAACTTTGTAAAAAATGGATCCATTAAGATTTAAATTGAAGAGAAAATAGGTTATGCTATAGGAAAGCACAACTTATCAACCAAAAAAATCAAGCTGGCAAAAGACAAAATCCCAACTACAAGGCTTCAAAACCTAAATCTACAAACCATTACATTGAAGTTACAGTGGCTACGTCCCTTCTTTGATACAGTCTCTGATTTATACCATTAATAGGGGTTTTAGATTATTATCCTGTCAGTATGGAAAAGGATGAAAACTATTTCTCCAACAAGCTTCTCTCAGGATTTAAATGATAATTCAAGTTTAGAGCATCTCTCCCTCCAGCCTGTTTATCCCCATATGTTACTCTGGACAGCAAATCTCAATCTTGGCTAATTTGACTTTAACAGCCAACCTCCACTACTCACACCCACGACCTCTGCTCATGCTCCACAGCTTGTTTTATTGGAACAGGTTCGTTAGCTACCTGTTGGTGAGGCAGGAGTGGGAGGCTACAACCTGCTGCTACACAGCAGTGAGGAGTCTCTCTCTTAAATCCAGAAGTGGCAGGATTAACGATTAGCGTCTGATTAAAGCAGTAACTCTACAGCGACAGCAGCAGTGACTGTAGCTGAGTGAACCAGGCTAATTGCTGGTATTTATCACAGAGAAGTTAATGGCTGATGGGTCTCCCTCTCCCTCATGCTGGTCTCTCTCGCTCAATCTCAGCCTCCTGTCAGCACTCTGACAAAGAACACCGTGCCGCTGATTAGCTCTGATTAGGGAGCATCCACAGCAGTGACTCACTGTCTCTCATTGTGTGTGTGTGTGTGTTCTTTACAGATGGAGATCAGGAGGGCCTACGCAGGTCCACCTCCAGTCCTGATCACAGCAGGTGAGATGGCTCAGTCCTTTCTTCTCTAAGTCTTTTCTCTGAGTGATTCAGAGAGAGACATTTTTGGAAGCTTAACTGCGTCATCAGTGGCCTTCTCAGAAATATGAAGCTCTTCAAGTTTCCTCCTCACAGACTTTATGCTGTCAATATTCCAATTTTCCTATACCCTGTTGCTCATCTCAAAAAAAGAATGTCTTCACACAGTTTCATACAACAAAACAACATTGTTGAATTAAGGCCACTCCAATCATGATCATTTCAATTTCAACTTGAAAACAGCAAAGGCGAGGGAACTGAAAATGAAAGAGAGCTTATTTATTTATTACATTTTTAGAATACTTGAGAATAAATGCCTACCCATACAAGTTGAGCTTTTCAGAAAGTCAGAAGAAATAAATGAAAAACAATCAGGATTCATGGTTTGATGGTTTTATCCCCATTCTGCCCCGACAAACCTTCAATTCCCTCGTCTCCCACTCTGTGCTCTCACTTCACATACTTATTTCCTCTCCTCCCCCTCTTCCTCCTCCTCTTCCTTATATCATTCCTCTGTTCTCCCTGATTTGTCTGTCCCGTCTCCTTGTTCTCCATCAGGCTGAGTTCGACTGTGTCGGGTTCAGACAGTCTGTTTGGTCCTCCGCTTGAATCAGCGTTCAAGTCCAAGAGCTTTGATGGTCGTGAACATCTCAGAGAGCAGAGCGCGTTTGGAGTTTCTGAATGTAAGAACTGTTGTTTTGTTCAAATATATATTTTTTGACTTGTATTCTAAATACGAGATGATATTCCCTCGTTCAACAACTTTAAAACTAGATTTGCTAAAACTCTCCTTTCAGCCTTGTGTCTCAAAAAAAGACCAGACTCTGTAATTAGGTCAGGTTTGTTGTCAGGTCACTCGCACTAAACTGGTGAGTGAGTAGATTTTGAATAATGGTTTTTACTGGGGTTGGAACTCTTTTCAGCTAACTAACTAACTTAACATTCTCAACATAAGAAAATAAAATCACAAGAAAATGCAATAACATGCAGACCCAGTTCACCAATAGACATATGAAAAAGGTAAGAGGTTCCCAAACATTTTCTATGCACGGTCAAGAGAGTCACATGAATAATTTATTTTTCAGAATTTACTAGTTAGTAGTAGCAGAATGGATTAGCTTCCTGATGTATCTTGAATATGGACTCAAAAAGATTTTAGTGGGTTGTGCAGTAGTGTCGTGGTGTTCTTATGAGTTTACATTTTCTTAGCTGTTTTTATTTTTCTCTTATGTTCTGGTTATGCACATGTGTATGGGATTTTTTGTTTACATGTGGATCGTGTTTGTTACTATTGTTTTTATTTCCAAGACAAGTGGACAATAAAGTCCATCGTATCATTAAGAGGTCAATAATGAAAAGAAAGTCGCTTGGAACACAAAAGCGGTTCGTTTGGACTCTCTGAGCTTTTTTTAAAATTGGAAATTTATATTTCTTTTTAATAATCTGCAAATGTGAATCTAGAACTTTTAAGAGACCTGGACTTTTTCAATAGTTAAATCAAAAACATGAATAAATATTGTGACATTTTGGCCAATAAGGTGAATCAAGGTTGGTACAGTGGTGTTTGACTATTTTAACTGGTATCTTGTTCTGTGTTTAACGTTTATGTCAGATGCTGCCTTCTCGTCAGACTCCTCCTCTCCGGAGAATGTTGAGGACTCTGGCTTGGACTCACCTTCCCATCAAACCCTGGGGCCGTCTCCTGAGCCGGTGGGTTGGGCCGCTTGGCCTCCCGTGACACAGAGTAAAGAACAGACTCAGACGCTGGGACGACCTGCCGATCCTTTCCTCTCTGCTTTGCGGGACCCCTCCCCTGGTTGGAGTCCTCACCCACAGGAAGACCCTGTTAGCGTCTGGTCCGTCGCCCCTTCTCGTCCCTCTCGTGTCCCCCAAGACATGGACCCGTCATCCACCCGGTTCCCTGCTTTCCCCCAGTCCCTCCCGCCACCTGAGATGGAGTCATCAGTGTGGAACTGTAAACACATCCCCCCTGAGGACCCCTTCCTCGCTGCATTTGATAGAACTGTCACCCAGGAGACCATAAACCTGTCTGACGCTTGGTCCCGCCCACCACCTCGTCAAAAACAGGAGGGGAGGGGGATAGAGGTGCGAGGGGATCCGTTCTCCATGACTCTCCCCGACACCAAGAAATTCCCAACCTCCTCTTCATCCTCCTCTTCATCCTCCTCTCACCGTAAAGACAGAGACAGGAAGCGGGACCGCAGCCTCCCGCCTCCTGTTACATCTGATGACCCGTTTGCGATCACAATGATTGGCAGCCCGACACACCAGTCGTCAATGGCTGCAGCAGCTGGTTTGATCCCTCCACCCAGCAGTAGCAGCAGCAGCAGCAGCAGCATTGTTGGCGTTAACAACAACAACAGACTCGGACTCGAAGCTAACTCGAGCTCTTTGCCCACGACTCAGCCCAAGAAGGAGCTGATGCACTGGAACTCTCTCCACAACCCGTTCAGTGAAGGAGTCTCCAAAACACAGGAGGGAGGAGGGAAAGGAGACGGAGGAGCTGGAGGAGAGAGGAGGAAACATCGATCATCAGAAAGTGAGCCACGTCGGAATGCCCCTCCACTCACGAGGCATTCAGGACCGCAGGAGGATCTGTGTTTCTCCACAGACAAAGATCAGGACTGCCTGGATATAAACTCTCAGATCCCGTGCGGCGTTAGCTCCCACAAAGGTAATGATTTATTCCTTTTAGAGTGGAACTAATGTTTTTAATAGAGGTTGGCACATGTCTATGGAAGCCCTGAGCGGACATCCATCCATTCATTTTTATTTACTCCTTACTCTACCGGGGTGATAAGTCATTATGGTTGTTTTCTCGAAACCTCATCTTGTTTATTTGCTATCCGCAGAGTTGCAAAAGCGCAAAACAAACAGAGAAATAAGCTTTATTTACATCATCAGTGTGGACAATGGCAGCAGGTCATGTCATGGTCTGGCCTATCACAATGAACAGCCGACTGTTTTCTTTTCTAAATTACCCGAAAATATCAGGGATTGAACTATTATGCTGAGGTATAAGAAATAATTGTTAAACATGGTGTAAAATATTAGAAAATAAATGGATGAATAGAAATAAGCTGCATAAAACACGAGATGTTTAGTTTACTAATTAATGAAATTAAAAGACTTCTAACTACATTATAAATAACCTTTTAATTCACATCAGTCACTTTCTTTACATTACATTTAAAGCAACAATATGTAGGAATTCAGTTTGGTGCACTTTGGCGCCCCCCGAATGTCTCTGAGTGTAACTGCACTGTTGAAAGACACGTAGACATGTAGTGTTGTTACGCCTCCCCCGTTTAGACAACGTGCGTTTGTTTACAAACAGAGGGTGCTAAACAACCTCTCTCCTCTGACATGGCACAGATATATTACCGGATTCAGCACAAATATGACTCAAATATGAAACAACGGGCTGAAGATGCAAGCAAACTGTTACCTGCAGCCTTGCATGGTTTCTGTCATCAATCATATATAATGATGAATATATTATAATGAATATTAATATATGAATCTGTGTATTCTATTATTATTTGTCTAAGAGACAAACAGCTACAGCAAAGTTTTGACAAATCAAAAAGTCTTACAAATCCATCAGAGGAAAAACTCTGGATCTTAAAGAAACACAAAATCCCTAAAAGAGTGTATTCCTTTTTCTGACATAATAATAATTCTTGTTGGACCCTGTTATCAGACATTAATACAAATGAATAAAAACACTTGAAATTAGTGCAGGAAATGACTTCTCTAAAGATGTTCTTCTCTCTGATGTTTTCTCAGATAGCAACATGAAGCTAAATTCACACACCAGTACAAATAGAATTGGGATTTGTTCCAGCTGGTTCTGTCACTGTGTCTGGTTTAGTTTGTCTCTGGCTGTCTTTGATTGATTTCAGAGGTTGTTTCTTTACTTCCATTTAACTGTGTGATTCAGATCAGCTTTGAGTCACTTTGTGTTTCTATGTATTTGAAAGGGTCCAAGCACAACTTCCGACAGGAGACGACTGAAGTGGTGTCAGCTGCTCCTCAGAGAGCGACCCGAGCCAAGAGGACTTCGAGCCGACTCAGCGGCTGTGAGAGAGTGAGTATTGATCACATGTCAACACCTCGGCTAATTGAATGAATTCTTATTCTGCAGTACATTTTGTATGACAGGAATTATTAACTTGTTTTGAAACAGATGAAAAATGTATACTGTGGCCTCTTTATGACCTTTGAAAGAAAATAAGACCATCAGAGGCAAGATGAGACGATTTACAGCACGCTGAAGAAACAGCCTTTTATACATTTTCACAACAAATACTGAGTGATACATTTATAAGAAAGCAGGATTAGATTTATTTGTAAGAAATCACTACTTACACTGTACAAAATGTAGCTAACAGCTAACGGTGCCAAAATCAACACTGACCTAAAGTTCCTCATAGGAACTTTAACTTTTTGTGACTCTTAAACCACAGCTTTTTTTTTTTTTAAATCCCACTTTTTGTCCTAACAGACCAATTGGTGTCTTATTTAGATATGAAGGACATCAACAGTAGAGAGAGAACCTGCCACAGGGCAAAACGTTTTAGATGAAGAACAACTGTGTGTAAAGTAAAAACCCTTTGTTGTTTCAATCCTACACTTTTCAATGTTCATGAGGAACATTGTAATTCAGTTAATACTGTATATCTACTGATATTTATCCTTTAAATTTAACGTTGAAATCAAACTGAACTGAACAAGTGGTAACAGTTGTATGTGAATGTAGATCTCTGGTCGCCCAGGTAATTACATATTGAAACTCTTTGTCCCTGCATCAGTCCCGCTCTCTATGCTCCTCCCCGCTGCCGGAGCCCAGCCCTTCCCTCACCTCCTCCTCCTCCTCCAGTCCCAGTGAGTGGGGGCCTCAGGCCAGGGACACTGACTGGGTGGGTCAGAACCAAGCTCCAAGTCCTGCCAGACCAGGACAAGTCTCACCGCTGCCCTTCCAGCACCAGGACCACCAACAAAGGCCGTGTAAGCCTCAGCACATAAACTTACATTACCAGAGAATGAGTTTGATGAAAAGATTGATACCAGCTTCATGTCTGTATGGTTAATATAAAGCTTCAGCATGAACAAAAACAGTTAAGATGCAATTTGTTGCTTTGACTCTTGAATATTATTAGAACATATTGAAGAAGCTTTAAAGGTGCAGGCACTTTGTTACCTTCAGAAAGAACCTGGCCAGCTGTTTCTGATATCTGAACTGCTGGTCTTTTCATATTTATTATGAAGTTATACGAGTTTTGCTATTCTCATCAAAAAGAAAGTTAAACATATTTCCAAATGACTCTTCTTCAAGCATAAATTAAACACATAAAACTCAGACTATCAACAGCCGCCTCTGATGTTTCACTTTTGTTCTGTGCAGTGCACCTCTCCCGAGGTCCCAGTCCCATCTCTCTGAGCACACAGGAGGCCTGGCCCGTAGCAGCAGCCATAACTGAGTATATTAACGCCTACTTCAAAGGTGGACAACACAACCGGTGAGCAGGATGCAACTGTTTCTTTTCACATCAAATCGACACTCTGCTGTGAAGCTGCACTGCTTTGGTTTAGTTCTAGTTTATTGACTTTTTTTCCTTTATTGTCTAGTTTATTCTCTATTTGTTACACCTCATTTCCACTTTAAAAATAGGACAGAAGTAAATTACATAGTTGCATTAAAAACATATTTCACATAGGTTAAACGTTGTATTTACATGGAGTTACAATTTAAGGTGTTGAAATAAAATGAACTAACAGCTTGTCATGTAGAGTATTTGTAAACAGAACTTTCCTTGCCAGCTAAAAGTAAAAGATGTGGAGGAACCTTTTTTTACTGTCAACTTAACATCTTGAACAGAACCACAGAGTTAACAGGATTCATTTGAACTTGGTTTGTTTGTTTTCTTCTCTCTCCAGATGTCTTGTGAAGATCACAGGCGACCTGACTATGTCCTTCCCTGCGGGCATCACTCGCATTTTCACAGCAAACCCCAATGTTCCCGTGCTCAGCTTCAGACTGGTCAACATCTCAAAGATCGATCACTTCCTGCCAAATCAGAAGCTGCTCTACAGGTCAGCAGCCCTCTTTGAGTTCAGTCACATCTGGGTTTTATTTCTTTTCTTTTTGTTTAGACTGAACACATCATTCCCGTCCCGTTTCTGTGTCTCTACAGCGACCCGTCTCAGAGTGACCCAGACACCAGAGACTTCTGGTTCAACATGCAGGCCCTGCAGCTCTTTCTGCAGAGGGAGGCTGAACTCAACCCTCAGGCCTCGTACTACAACGTCGGCCTTCTTAAATATCAGGTGAGGATCCAAAGAGGTTCTTCATGACCCTTATCTTTTGCTCATATGGGCTGATCTCAATTCAAATTTTGACCATCCTTGTATAATTTATAATATTTCTAATATATTCTATACAATCCAGGTATAGGATGAAGATGGTTAAATGTATTTTTGTCAATAAACATTTAATATTGACAATTTGTTTTAATGGCCTAAGAGATGAACTAATGATTTGATAGAAGCTATATTTTTAGCCCAAGTTCGTCTTCATTCCCTTTTTTATTTTTTTTATTGGAAAGCTTATTCATCAGAAGTTTTTTGAATCTTGTTTTTTTCCTTTTGGACAACTTTGTTTTCATTTTCTGAAAGTCTCTCCAAAGTGTTGATCACATTAAACCAATTCCTTCATATGAGTTGATTAAGCTTGACATGACCTAAAGATGACACCAATCCTGCCCTGGCCTCCTCAGGTGTCGTCTCAGGACCCGGGTCGGGCTCCCCTCCTGCTGTCTGCAGAGTGTCAGCGCAGCGGCACAGTGACCCGGGTGTCCCTGGATTACCACTGCTGCCCCGCCACTGCGCCCTCCACCCAGCTCACCGCAGTCCAGGTGCTGCTGCCGCTAGACCACACGGCCACCGACCTGCAGTGTCAGCCTCCTGCGTCCTGGTGAGACATGAGCAGCCTCTGTTCACTGTTGATCCTGTATTTAACCTTTAATTAGTAATTGAGCAGATTTAGATGAATAGAGAGAAAATATAATCCAAAAATATTTGATGAGGTATTACTAAAACGAGTCTAAACATTTGAAACCAGCATTACAGTCATATACACATTTATATTTATGACAGAACATGATAATATTCACCACGACAAAATAATGCTAACAAGATGTTAGCATTATTACAACAGTTAACATGCTGTAGCAGGTCTAAGAGTATTTTGTGTTTATTTTTATGAGTTTGAGAAGAATAACATCGGGGTCAATTACAACAAGAACAGAGAAAAAGAAATGAGTGCTAATAAAATAAAAGATGGTAGAGTATGTATACTGCATTTGTTCATATCCTGTCAATGTAGTCTGTGATCGTCAAACTGGGGACTGAGAAGCTGGTTTGATATTTTCTATTTGTAGGAACGCTGAAGAAAGACGGCTACTTTGGAAACTCCCGAACCTCTCCCCGACCAACCACAGCAAAGGTCAGAACTCCTCTGCTCCCTTCTCATCTCTGTGCTTTTATGTTTTCAGCCCTCATTGAACAAGGAGAGTTTGAAAACAGAATGTGGCTCAAGGAGAGGTTATCCTCAGTCTGTTCCACGTCTATCATAAGCATTCACTGGAGAGCTACATTTCCCTCATCAATAAAGAATACAATCAGAGAATTCTGCTCTATCACTTCACACAAATAGAAAATGTGTCATTTAAATGTTTGTTACAGGATTTCTGAAGGTAAAGCTAAAAGTCTGACAATGTATAGTTAGCTTTTCAGTGCAGAATTAGCATTGGTAGCAGCTGCTGTCATTAGTGTTGTGACGTGGAGTAAATAGCAAGTGTCTGTCTGTCTGCATGCATCTAGACAAGCACCTCATAAATGTTCCCTTTATATTAGTGTCAGGGTGATTGTTGCTTCTCAACCTCTCATAAGAGAGCTTATTTCAGCTGTAATTTAACTTCAGATGAATCAAATATTATATCACTTTATCTCAAGGTTTCATTCAGTTAAGTGCCTCTTTGTATCAGACACACACATTTCTTATTTCTAATTCTTTCTCGTGTAAAGATGTATTACGTTCTCAGAGGGAAGCGTTGGGCTCTGAGAACAGAGAAAAAAGAAACTGTTCATAGATGTCAGTGATGGATGATGGGAGGAAGGACGTTAGAGGCTGAAAACATTTCTGTTTTGTGAGTCAATGACAAAGCTCTGAAAGGTCACCATAACTCCTCCCTGTCTTTCTTACATCGTTCATCCCTTTTAGGTTAAAAGTGACATTTCTTTATTGATTATATCTGAAATGTTAAATCACAAGAGAAACTTCTTTATCTGTACCTCATGTCAACTGTTGAAGATATTTCTGAGCTTGACAAAGCTGCTTCCTCTTCTTCCTGTTCATCAGCATTTCACCTCGAGGGTGGTTGAGTTGTGAAGCTGTTGAAGAGACGTCAGTCCTGTTTCTGCTGATTATTGGTTTTGAGCTTTCTTGTTTGCTTTGTAAAGTTTACATTCTCAGAGAAACAGAGGCTCTGTCGACTGTTATTAACTTGTTTTTAATCTCTCTTTTCTCTGAACCTTGAAACTTTAAAGCCTGCCCTGACACACTTGCTTTATAAGAAGAGACTACCATCTTTCCACATGACTGTAAAGTTAATCTGTGTGTGTGTGTGTGTGTGCGCCACAGGCTCAGGGACTCTGTGTGCCAGCTGGCAGTGCCTGGAGGTCCCCCGTGGCCCTCCACCCAGCCTGGCTGTTCAGTTTGTTGGCTCGGGGGCCTCTCTGTCAGGCATGGATGTGGAGCTGGTGGGCAGCCGCTACCGCATGTCACTGGTTAAGAAGAGATTCGCCACAGGTGACACTTCCTCTTCTTACACTGACTGACCATGGTCTCTGAGAGGGACTTATTCAAGTCTTACAAAGCATGTGTATTAATGAGTCATGTGTTTACAGGGAAGTACATGGCAGGCTGCTCCTTGTGAATCGTGTAAATGATCCTTGCTGTGGGGAGTCCAGAGGTGAAAGGTGAAGACGGGATTCATTGTTAAATATACAAACTGAAGATGAGGCGACCTTGACTCAGACTGACACCTCAGCGCTGAAGGACGTGCACCTCCTTCTGACGGTGTCCTGCTGTTTTAGGACCAAGCTTTCTTTTCCTCTTGTTCTCCTCTAATTTGAGTTGTGTTGACTTTTTCTACTGAATCATTTCATTGTGTTTTCAAACTACACACTAAGCTAGACGGCAGAAAAGAAAATGTGTGCATAATGCTAAGAATATTACTGGAACCATGAAAACTAGGATTTTTTAAATTATGTAAATATGGTATTAAGAAAATCTCTAGAATAACTTAAAATATTGAACAAGCCACTTGTACTAAACCTTAGTAAAATAAAGTGTTTGTAAATCTGCTGTTTGTTCCAAATCAAGGTTTTGTGATGTCATTTGATACAAATAAATGTTCTCAAACTGCTTTGGTTTACAACAATTTATTACACATTGTGACCAAGTACAAAATACAGCTGAACTATGCAGTTTATTACAGACATTGTCTGTCCTTAGGCTAGTTAAAGTGTAGTCAAGAACAGGTTTAAATGCACAAAAATAAGGGTTCAGTATACTTGTAAGAAGAACCAAATCTAGTTCAATAAAAAATAATCCTCCGCCGAAAAATACTAAAACAGTCTTACCAAACATTACAAATTACACAGAAATTACTTCTTTTTCCAAAGCACTTGAAGGCAAAGTACTGTGACAGGCACGAGTTACAAAAAGCCTTAAATAAGTAAAAACTTGAGGATTCTCATCGCTACAACAAAATCATCCGAGGGAAACGAGGAGAAAATAAATCAACCAAATAGATTCCAACACAAAGCAGATGCCAATCAATTCAGAATAGATCTTATAAATAGAAATTTCTCTTGTTACAGTTTAATAGCTTACTGTGGAGCAGAAGCACCCTAAGTAATAATTTGATTTCATACACTGAACATTTGAGATTTGAAACATTTATCACACACTCTGGGCTAATTCATTACACATCAAAGCTTTTTTTTTTTTTCTTCTGATACAGTGTGAGGAGCGATCAGGCAAAGGCCACAGAGCACAGACTTCCTACATCATAAAAAGATATATATATTTATATTATTTATTATGGACATGTTCCCCATTTAATGCACTGTATTTACCTCTAGCTAATCCAAACAGAACATAAGACTTTATCTGAGAAACAGCATGAGGTCAAAGTATCTGATTTCTGGGAGTGTGTACTGGCTTACACACGACAAAGAGATCCTGTTTCTGTGAATGGGTTTTGGTTTCATAGGTTTATATGCTCAAATGTGTTTTGATTAAATGATGAAATGTACAACCATTTTTAAAAATCAGAAAATAAGTCAATGAGACAGCAGATTCCAGTTTAGGTTTTAGCATAAAGTTGATTAGTCTGGATTTATCCCTTACTCTTGGTACAAGGTGTATCCATAGAGCACCCAGAGGAGCTATCTCAGGGCTGAAACCAAATGAATGAGAACTATTTACATCAACGGGAACAGGATCAAGAGACACAGACTGCAACAGTGGCTACATTTTTTTTTTGTATATACTTTCCTCATGTGATCTGAGCCAAAAGGACCACAGCATAAAAATCTATTGAGGTAAAGAAACATCTACACGCGTACTGAGTTCCCCGTTTTCCTGACTGTGGCTAAGCTGGTGGGAACGTTTCAGGGAAAGGTCCTTTGGGTCAGTAAGTTGCATGTTTGTAGTTGTTTGTTTTTGTGTGTGCGTTAGTGAATACGCTGCGAGCTGCAGCAGAGGCAACAAGGAGAGTACACACCTACACCAAATCTACATTAAAGGTGCTTTGAATGTCTTGAGGTTTGGAGACGATACATTCATACTGCGGTAGAGGCACAGCTGAGGGACAGACATCTGTAGTGGTGGTTTTTAAAGTTAGCGATCTAAGGCACTCAAATGACACTATGGCACATCTAGTTCAAATAAAAAAAGAGTAGACGAATCACAAACAGCACACACCACCACTCAAAGATACACATCCAATAAAAAGTTACTGCACAAAGTCATTCACAGTTGGAACGAAAAGGGAAAGAAAATCAGGCCTGTGTTACAACCCTGTGAGTAAAAAAAAAAAAGAAAGAAAAAACAGATGAATGAGCTACTCAGGAGACAGATCAACGTCTGTTTAAACGCTAGTGAGGGGAGGACCAACGCTGCTACTTTCTTCTTTATGTACATGGCACACTGACTGCAGAAGCAGTGTGCTTGTCCCTCAGTGTCCCTAAAGGGCCCCAAACACAACTTCAGGGTCACTTTTTCCTGGGGGAGACATACTGGTCCTCGTGGCTCTCAAGTCGGGCCCCGCTCAGACTCACATCTCCTGCAGAGGGTGACTCATGTCAATCCTCTCTCTCTTAACGGCCGGTTCAGTCGGCCCTCTGGAGGCATCAGCGTCACTGCCCAGGTCACTCATCTCATCAGAAAAAGACGCATCTAACGGCAGAGGTAGAGTGGAATGTTAGAGTTTGGGTTAATGCCAAGAAGAGGGAAAAGGACTACTAACACCTCTAACCAATATACCTTAGCACTTTATCAAAAGGGGTCGCTAATATCAACATAACCCTAGGATAGGAATAATTTAAACAAAACAAATTCTAAATCATGTCTTCTTCCTAATTCCCCCCAAAAATAAAAACAAATCTCACCTTTCTCCATCAGTGATGGCATCATAGAGGTCAGGTCACTGAACTGTGAACAGAAACATGAGAGAGCTTTAGGCCTCAGACTATTTTCACCATCAGTCATTAAAATGTAATTTTACTGTTTTGAGCAAGCAGCTTCAGGTCTGGTCTTTCTCACCTCTCCCATAACAGCAATGGGAGTTTCCCCGGTGGCCTGAGCCACACGATGTTCCACCAGGTAAAACATGTACTCATCATACAGGAGGCGGATCAGATGGAAAGAGCCAAAACTGGCGGCGCTGCGCAGGGTCAGGTCTCTGATCACCATGGAGCTACAGGAGGGAGAGAGACAAAAACACAACATTTATAATATTATTAACAGAAAGTGCAGCATCTACGCCTCAAGAGAGCTAACCAGACTGATGCAGAGAGGAAAGTGTAACAGCCTGGTACCTGTAGAAGGACCACTTGAGCAGGAACTGGCGAGCAGCTTTGGGGAAGCTGGGGCTGCCCTGATGAGGCTTCAGGACCTGAGAGACCACGTTGTCGAGCCAGGTAGCCCACTGGTCCAGAGAGCTCTGCTGCTGCAGGGTGACCTTAAAGTCCTGCTCCAGACGCTGAACCACGCTCTCATCACACTGACACACCCAGGATGCCTGCTCCTGTTAGACACAACAAACACAGTCGGTGAGAAACCTAAAAACACAGTCTGGACCTGAGGCAATGCATGATTTTTAAATCAAGTGTAGATGTAAAATAACCAGGCAAGTTTACCTGGACGTTCGCAAAGTCAACCCGGTTGAGGTCAGAAAGCATCTGGTTTATCTGAGATGTGTTCTGGAGGACGGCCCGGGCTGCCTGAGCCAGGTGGTTCAGGCTAGTGTAACGTCTCAGAGTCTGGGCGAACGCGCTGACGACAGCCACCTACAATGGGAAACAGAGCCAATCCATCAAAGACCCTTTAAATGTCCCTCTATGTATTTTTATTTAGCTATTATAGCCTAATTACAAATTTAGGTTTCTAGGGCTGCCTGAGTTTTCTCTGAATAGAGTAAAAATTCCTTTATGTACAAGGTTTACTCATGAAGGCGTTACTAAATCCACCTCTGGAGTAATATACACAGGTTATTTTTTAAATATTCCCTAAGAGGTTGAAGAGAGTGACTGCATGTAACAAATAGTCTGCACACACACACACTTCAGTATCTTATGTGCACATTCAATCTAGAACACAGTAGTTGAAAAGCTGGTTACCTTTGTGCGGATAATCTCTTGAGGAAAGTTGGTCATGGCGTTAGTCAGCCAGCCCTCCAGACTCTTGGCAAAGTTTCGGATGGCCTGAGTCAGAGTGCCTGAAGAAACAGAGCAGCCTGGATTACAAACTGACGTTACTACATTCAATTTAGATGAATCTGCCGACAGATTTGTGGGCGCTGCCATCTTGCGGTGGCTGCCATTACTGCCGCGGTATCTCAGAGGCTAGTTAGATTTAAAAACATCAGAAAGTTGCAAATGAAGTCACCTTAATTAATTAAGAGTGCAAAAACACTGATTGCTGATATTCCGCTGGCTTCACTAACTCTCTGCTAGCCCCACACTTTGTGATTTTCATATGATAACTCATCTAAAACCAACTGAACTTTAGGGGCTAACAAATGATGGATTTATTGGATCGGTGCATTGACTGATGTACTCACTGATACCCAGTACTGCATTTTAGGTCGTACTGGAATCAGTATTGGCCTCAGATGTGGCCTTAAATAGAGGAGTTGCATAACAGTATTGCAGCAATTCTTCTGTGTGGTTTTGCTTTACTCTGCCATAAAATAGATACCAGGCATTTTTCACTAATGATGAAAAGTACCTGAAAAGAAAGCACTGATTCATCTTCAGTGCAACAACTTAGCCCCCTTTCCTTTTCCAAACTACAAACTGGTTCACTCTCACTCTTTGCCATTCATGCTCTAACACATTCAATCGAACACACTCACTGAATCTGTGGTCTAAAAAGTTTTTTTTTTTTTAACCTTTTAGTATTCACTCAGCTACCTTAGAACACTGACAGAAGGGATAGAGAAAAAAATAATCTTCAATACTCAATATTATTTTAAATGGAAAACCAAGCTGAGTCAAGCTGTTCCATGCACTGTAATAAACTCATCTATCATTCATTCAATCTTAAAAAAATAACAGTGGTACTGACTGGGGACAGGACGCAGCACATCAGGGATCAGGATCTCCACAAGAGCCTGGTAGAGAATGTGATCACAGCTCCTCATCCATAACCTGACAGGTTCATATTTACACAGAGCTACCAGCTTCTCTTGTGGGATCACACCGTCCAGGTCATCATCACTACACAAAGACAGGAGAGAAACACAGGGAGACATTTGTTTACTCTACTAAATATATAGGATTTAATTCAGCTCAAACACACCACTAAATGTAGATGTTAAAGTAACAATAGCTTTCTTTTCAGCATTAGTTCTACTTAAATTTGAGATCTGACCTATTGGAGATGGTGGTGCTTCCGTCACTAGATGGCGGTGTTGAATACCAAAAAGACTGCCAAAGTTTCTCAATGTAGTGGAACTGGAGGTTCATCACCACATCCAAAGTAGCCTGTAGGAGAGCGGCAACCGAGGGAGGGGTGAGAGAGAGTGAGAGGGAGGGAAGAGAGGAGGGAAAGAGAGGGACGAAGGGGGTGGGGGAGACAAAACATACAGAACTGAGCCATGGCAACCAGACACACAACAAAGTTCCTACAGGCAGG